TTCTGCTATTAACAACCTCAGAAACAATCTTAAATTACAGAGAAGAAGAAATTAATATTTATGAAAAAGAAATAAGATGAGCTAATACAGAGCAAATAGTGGACACTTCCTACCCAACATCCACTCCTCTCTTCCACAATACCAATTTTATTCATGTTTCAACCCTTATCCTCAGCTCCATAGGTAGATCCTGATTGGTGTAATCTATTAGTGGTCCTGGGTAGGACTAACCAGACTGAAGGGAAAGATATATTCTAGGATTGGAGAAAGAGATCACTCTTATGGATTGAAATGATTACCACTAATTTCAAGGAGGAAATCAGCCTTTGGATTATCAACTTTGTGAAAAGCAAGGTAAAGAAAGAAACTGGATCTACGATGAAGTCACTGATTTGCTGAAACAAATGATTTTGGAATCTGTCTACTACTCTTGCACTTCCTATAATGTGTACTAACAGTTCTTTTTAAGTGAAATTTAAGTCAGGCTACATAAAACCCAATTTATGTATCCAATAGCATCCTAACTAAGGTGAAAAAAAACCAAATCACTTGGAATTATCTTCTTAATAAAACAGCCCAAATACTATGTGTTAATATAGTATGTGTTAAGACCTTAATTAATACTTAGAACTGCTGACACTTCTATCTTGATCATAAAAATAAGTTTAACTATCTTACCTGCCACATTGTCTTAACTGTCACTAAAAAAGATATCAATAAACATGGATACATCTTTCTTAAGGATTTTTTAAAAAGGAAAACAAAGTTATACATACTTTCAATATTTTATATATTATGTAAACAAACTCAAAAAAGAAAAGAACAATCTTAGAGTTCCTTCTAGGACTTGCATTTCATTGACAAATAATCAGAACAGTTTACAAGTATAAGAAAATTGAGGCAACTCATGCATGTAACAGTTTGAAAACTATCCTGTTTGTACTTGTGTGGGTGCGTGCATGCATGTGTGTGTAAACTCTCCCACAAGTATACGTATACCATCTTTTAAATCTTAGTGGAAACAATTAGGATAATTCATATTAAAGAAAAACATTTTTTACTTTATTAAAGTGATTCACCAAAGGATATACCATTGTTCATTAATAATACAGGAATCATAATCCAAGGGTTTTTTTCTTGTTTGATGATTATATAAAAATATATCTCGTTTAAGAAATATTAGTCTTATTAGTTATTTACAGTAACACACTATTGCCAGGCAAATATTAAAAGACCAAAGTTTATTGCTGTCAAGTCTCTGTGGCTAACCATTAATTTAAAGAGACAAACCAAGAAAAACAACTGAACTTGTGCAGTCATAGTTCAAGGATACAGAAGGCAAAACCAAAAGAGAATGCATTCTGGTTCTACCCTTGAATTCTTAATGTCAAACTCTAGCAGAATGAATCAAAACTTCAGTTTAGCCAATTATGTGTGTGACTTCATGTGCCTCACACATAATAGCAGCTTGGAGGTACAATCAAATCTAAAAATTAATTACAGTGGGAAATGGAAATCTGCACTATTAAAGGGTAAAGATAAAATGAGGAATGAAAATCCAATGCACTAGGGAAAACTGGTTGGCAAATGGTTAAGCACTTTTCAAACTGCTTAATGTTAAACCATCATTACTGGACTCAAACCTCAGCTTTCTATCAAGATATGAAACTGTTAACCCAACCACACCCATAAGTATTGCTTAAAAAATTAAACTCAAAACTGGCAATCTTACTGGATATATCTTCTCAGAGATTTCTTTCAATTTAAAACAAACAGTTGAAGTAACAGCTATTCCATCATTATGTTTATCCTAAAGGCACGGATTCTGAAAACCTCCCATCAATGAAGGACTAAATTTTAAGAACTGGAAGGAAATTTAGGAGGTGACTTCTAATTCAAACTTTATCCTAAGCTAGGAGTCTCTAATAAATACACTAGCAAAGATTTACTGGGAGTTCTCTATATTCCAGACTCGATATTGATTGCTGGTGGGGACACAAATAAATCTAAACCTTACCTCAAGGAATCTATAGTATGCCCCAACGGAGTTACAGGCTGTAAAACAGAATATTATACTGTAATAAAGATAAAAGTAAAATCCTAAGAACCAAGAGGAGTCTTTCAGCAAGATGAGAAGGCCTCAAGGAACGGTTAAATGATGTCTGAGTGAAGCCTGAAACAGGGGTCCAATTGAGACATTTGGCAATGGAAAGGACATTTCAAGGAATGAAAATAGAATAAACTCAGATGCCTTATACTAACACACCCCATTTCTAACTGCTCTTCCCTTACATATTCGGCTCTTGCCATGCCAGTTTTCTTGGTGTTCCTTAACATTTAGGGCAGGTTCTTCAAACGGGCATTGCCACCTCAGGGCCATTGCATCTCCTGCTCCCTCTCCTTGGATTGATCTTCCCTCAGAAATCTGCAAGGCAGGCCTTCCTACCTCCTTCAAGTGTTTGCTCAAATGTCACCTTCTCAGTGAGAACTTACCTGCCTATCTTATTTTAAATTATCATCCCTGTACTCCCTGTCACCCTTCCCTGCTTTTTTCCCACAGCACTTATAAGTACCAGACACACTATATATTCTATTATACTTATTAGCTTTGTGTCCTCCCCCCACCAAAAGAACAGAAATTATGTTGTTCACCTTCAGATTTTTTTATTTTTTTACTTTTTAAAAAGATTTCATTTATTTGTTTTTAGAAAGATGGGAAGGGAGGGAGACAGAGAGGGACAGAAACATCAATGTGTGATACATTGATTGGTTGCCTCTCACATGCCCCCAAATGGGGACCTGGCCTGCAACCCAGGCATGTGTCCTGATTGGGAATCGAACTGGTTACCTTTCAGTTTGCAAGCTAGCACTCAATCCACTGAGCCACACCAGCCAGGGCTCATCTTCAGATTTTAAAGCCCTGCCTGCACCTTGTAGGCATGAAATAAATACTTGTTGACAAACTGACTGAAATAAATGAATGAAAAAGATTTCTGCTCTCAAATAGGTTATGGTCTAGTGAAGGAAGCAAATATATAAACAAATAACCTTATATTATTCTTGAATGACAAAAATACAACTGGCAAAACCCAATTTATAAAATACTAATTACATAAAAACAGCTTCTAGCATCCCTACTTCTACAGGACCAGTGACCACTAGATCCTTCTTTATACACCTCTTAGCTCTCTACCCCCAGTAACACTGTCATTTATGCAATGGCCAAAAATGACACCAGAGCTGCCCCTGCTGCCAGAATTGCCTCTTCCCACATTAACCTTCACTTCTACCTACTGAGTAAAGGTAAAACATATTCGGTTCTATTGTTAGGCAACAGAAAGATATTCCTAGATTTCCAGATTGCATTCACTTTTCAGTAGATGGTTAAATTCTAAACTGCAGGAATGGTTACACTGATATTATGGATTAGGCAAGAAATCTATTATTAATATTGCTTAATTATTAAGTGTAGACATGGAAAAGCAAATTTTTGAATTGTTTCATTGTTGGATCATACTTTTCTATACTGCAAATGGATGACACAAGCAAAATGGTTAATATAAAGTTCCTTCAATAAAGGCTAGTACTATATATTTTACGTAAATGGGTAACAGTGTAAAGTTAAAGGCTTTTTCCCCTCCCTCCCAGTAGGATCAACTAGAATTCCGTCCTGGATTAATGAATGATGTAGAACTCTTAAATAAAGGATTAGCATTTAACTTACATTATACTCAAGCCAAAGAGTAGGAGAAAATATTTTTTATTGGTAGCAAAAGCAAAACTACTTAAGGAAATGAGGAATAAGCTCAGTATTCTTCACTTCAACTATCACCTTCACAGACTGAATTATCATTTTAGGCAAAGTGACATTATCACATTTAATTTTTAATGGCAGGAATGATTTCTATCTGGGATTAATTTGCATAGAAGCGTTACCCTCGGCACAATTTAAATATTTAATTGAAAGTTCATTTCTGGCTATAAGCAAATGTTCCGATTACTACGCAATTGTTACATCTCTACATTAACCGTACAGATGATAGCCCAACTTTACGCGTTTTACTTAATGGAGAATTTTGCCCTGAGATGAGCACATAATTCTCATTCAACCATTACTAAATTACTTATCTTTGCTACCTTAGAATCTCCTACATTTTGAAACAATATTTACACTCCTAAAATAATTTTACAAATATTGCTATTCTTAAGTAGAAAAAATACTATAAAATAGGGCAAATACCCTTACGTAGAAAAATGCCAAATCATAACTTTCAGGTATAGAGTCAGTTACAGCCGGTCAACTACAAACGTCGCCAGTTATTGCAAGAGGAAATAATTTACAGCCACTAAGGGATAAGTCCGATAAAAATGTTAGTTCCTCACTTATCTCTTTCTTTAACAAGGAGGCACGTGAAAGTCAAACTGGACAGTCGATCACGTATGGCAACATACAAGAGAGACTGTACAAAGCTTGCGGTTATCAAAACGCAGGAAGCTGAAGTTCCTGCTCAATGAGAGGATTACAGTGAACAACAGTAGCCCATCTGTCCATAGGAGAAAAGAAGTCCACCAGGAAAGGCTGGGAGTCAGGAAGGTGGGGCTGCAAGACTAGCTCCGCTCTGTCTGCCTTAGAGGCTAAGAGAAGTCTCTGGTGTCAGGAGGCAAGGGCGCCAGTGGGCTCGCGGGCGCAGGTGGGCTTAAGGCTGGCCGACCCGCGAGGGCCCCACACCGGGAAGTCTCCAGGGCCTCGCCCGCGCAGTCGGGAAACCACCCAGGCAACAGACTGGCGGAGGAGCCGCCTAGGCAGAGCCACGTCGGAGGACGGGAGTGCAGCGGAACGTTGGCACCTGGCTCACACCCACCCGGAGGCTGACAGCCCTGGAGCGCACGGCTGCCGGGGCGCGAGAAGGGCCGCGGCGCGCCTCAGGGAGTCGCACTGAGGGCGCTGCCAGATGCCAACGACTCCCGCTCGCCCATTTCGGCAGCGGCGGGATACTCACGTAAGGCTGGTAGAACTTGGACAGCCGCGGCTTCCCGTGGTTGTTGAAGATGAGGATCGCCTTAATCATGGCTGAGCCGGGCTGACCGGGTGGGCTCTGGGGGCCAGGGCGGGGGAGGGCGCGCGATCCTTACCTCGGGATTTCGCCGCTGATCCTTCCCCACCCGCCCCCTCTTGCACGCGCGCGCGCGCTCCCGAGTTGTGGGGCGGGGCCAGGGCGGGGAGGGGTGAGTAGGCGGGGCCAGAGGGGGCTGGCGTGGAGGGAAGCGGAAACGCCCGACTCCATTACCCACTCGACCGAGGGGCGCCTGGGTACTGGGTGGTCTGCTGCCACGCAACCCACTGTCGCTTTTCCGAGGTGTGCTGCGGTGGGAAAACAGTAGTCGCGGTGTTAAAGGTTAGGGATCTGCGATACGTTCGACACAGAGGACGGAGCGGCTACTCCAACTCTCACTGTTGGGTTGGGTCCCCTTACTCCGGTGCTTGCTTATCGACTCTCACCGGCTCAAAGCCCGCCCACTGTACACGCGGAGACCTCCACTTCCGCTTTCACCTTCCACCGAACAAAATGGCTGAGGAGCAAGAGTCTGTGGTGCAACTCCCTCCCTCAGGCGCGGCTGACAGCGAAGGACCTGCGGACGTCTCCCCAGGAACAGCCACTCCGGAGCCCCCTTCTTCCGCTGCAGTCTCCCCAGGAACAGAGGAACCTACCGGCGACACCAAGAAAAAAAGTAATTTTGGAAGTGGTTTATTTCTGGGCAGAGGCGGGAGGTTTAGATGGCTTCACACCAGGGATGGCGGCCGATGGAGAAGCAAAATTTAGAGAGCTCGTCCCAGACAAGGCTTTTGACCAGTCAGGAGAGAGGAAATGTACTTTTCGGCTTTGAAGACCTTTGAATTGAGTCCCTCTTAAGAAAGCCGTTGCTGGACGCACATTGGCAGTGTGGTGCCCGGTACTTGGTTGCCACACTACTTATGACACTGCACTCTTCGTTGCAGTTGGCCAGATGTCGAACTGAGTGGGAGCTCGGTAGCTGCAGGTACTTTACACAACACCTAATTATTAGAATAATGATTTAAGATGATAGGGATGGTGGGTGGCAAGTTTGGATTAGAGTCCACGCCTTCTTACTAGTTTGCAGGATTTTTTTTATACCAATAGCATGTGAACTCACTTCTTGAGTCAAAAACCTGAAATTTTACCCAGAATGAAGAATGGTAAGGGAAAACTAATGTCATAGGCATCACCTTTTTAAAAAACAACGAAACCGTTTTTGGAACCTTTGTGAATCATTTCATGGCTTGAACTAGCTGTCATCAACCCTGTATTACCTGAGAATTAGTTTGCCATTGTAAAATACAGAAATTCCTAAATTTACTTGTTCTGGAGTGCTTTATGGACAGTTGCGTATGAGAAAATCAGCCTCCTACAATTCAGAGGTTGGACCTCAGACAAGTTTTCTCAGTCCAGAATCTTATTGTAGCTCTGTTTTCTGCTTAGTGATCTCAAAGCCTCTCCTCAAACTTCAGTTTCTTCTGCCATGATGGATATAATCGGCTATCCCACCACTGTCTCCCTTTAAAGCTGCACTGCCTCTACATTTGGGGGGGAATCTGTCATTTCCACATGATGCATTAGTAAAGAAACAGCCCTTTGATTATTTTTATAACCACTAGAATCTTTCTTTAGAAGAATTCCATGAGTTTTACAGATTTTTTTGTTCCCTTTTTTTTTCCATTTTACTATAAGCACTAACATACTTTCAAAGGGCTTGTTTAAAGCTCCAATAGCCTTAGTCAGAAGCGTACTGCTTGACCTCAAAGATAACTTTGTAAAACAGTAGCTAAAAAATAATGACCTGCAACTGGGATATGGCCTGAGATTATATGGCATGTTTTCTTTGGTCCACACAGTGTATGTATGTGTGTCTGTGTGTGCGCGTATATATAGTTTAACCATCATTTAAAAATTGGTTCTTTTTCTGGATTCTATGAGCTTTGCGTTTGCCTCTCTGATGTAAAATTTAGTTTCTAGCTATTGAATTTCTACCCTGAAATTGTCATCCTTTCTTAAGGACATTTTCTGATGAAAGGAACTTAGCAATTTCATATGCTCCAGATCTGGTTTAATCTACAGAAGAACAAAGAATAAAGCAAACCAAGGTTCTTGGTTTTGGCTTCATATTAGGAACACCTGCGAGAGCTTTTGAACCTATATATGCCAACACCCTGCTTTAAAAATATTGTGATTTAATTCATGTGGACACCTGTATTCTTGTAAATTAAGTATTACCCCATTTGATTTTAATGCTTAGCTAGAGTTGAGAACTACAAGTAAATCACCTTTAGAATTTAAAAAAAGGTTAAAATAAGAGTGTCCTTCTCTAGCTCCTTGCCCTGCCAACTTTTTTTCGTTCAGTAGTACAACTCGTTAGTATTTTCTGCTTCACTTTCTTGAAATGCCCAATTTCAGTTGAATTATTGACAGCCTCAGGGGATTGAGGGAGCATGGAAGGTGAAAATTCTTCATTTTTCTTCCAATTTATTCTGGTTCTCAGTAAACAACTGAAGCTAGAGATATTAAGTGGAGAAAAGAAGGTGAAATTTAGGAAAAAGTCTGTGTGCATTTTGTGTCCTAGGTGCCTTCATTATAAGGATAAACTTGAATAAATTGATCTCTGACTCGCTTGGGTCCCAATTTTTTAATACCAAAGAATGGGACAAGAGGGATGTACTAGAACAGAAGTAACTTTAGGGGGCAACAATACACTATTTTGCTTTCAGTGTTGGTTTTGATTGTAGATACACTTCCTTTTTATTGAATTTATTGGGGTGACATTGTTTAATAAAACTAGGTTTCAGGTGTACGATTCTATAATACATCATCTATATTATTGATCATATTGTGTGTTCACCACCTCCCCTCTTTTTTTTAAAGCATAGTGACTTCAGGAGACAGATTGATAGTTTGGGTTTGTATTTTGAATTAATTGAAACCTTTAGTTTCCCTAACTGAAACTTTTTGGCCCCCAGTTATATTTTCTTTCTAATAATTATTGTGTTCCTTTATTAAAAAGGTTTTTGTAGAAAACTTAGTGTTTGCAACAGGCACAAATAAAACCAAATAATAATTACCTATAATGTCATTACTGAAAAACAGCATTTTGGTGTGTATTCCACATTTACCTGAATTTTTGCTTGTGATGGTTTTGATGAAATTGATGTCTTATACATACTGTTTCATATTTAGTACCTTTTGATAACTTTTCCATATTGTTAAGTATGCTTTTTTAATATGTGTTCTTTAATGGAACCTTATAATCTTAAAGTTCAATAAGTATGAGTTGTGAACTGATACTGTTCTAAACACTTTACATATATTAACTCATTTAATCCTCAAAACAACCTCATGAGATAGGTGCTATTATCTTCATTTTACAAATGGAGGAACTATGGCATAGAGAGATTAAAGAGCTTATCCAGATAGATGTACCAAGCAAGTGGCAGAGCGAGGATTTTGAACCCAGGGATTTTAGAGTGTGTGTTCTTTACTGAATTATATAAATTCTATCATAATATCCTTTATTCAATCAATATCCTTTATTTAACTGATTCCCTCTAAGTACCCTTGTTGGCAAACCCTGGCTGGATAGCTCAGTTGATTAGAGCATTGCTCCATAGACCAAGGCTGTGGGTTCAGTCCTCTGTCGGGGCTCATACAAGAATCAACCAATGAATGCATAGATAAGTGGAACAATAAATTGATGTTTCTCCCTCTCTCTCCCTTCCTCCTTCCCTCTAAAAACACCCCTCTCTCTCTCTCTCTCTCTCACATTCACAGCGCGTGCGTGCGTGCGTGTCTCTCTCTCTCTCTCCCCTTATTGGATATTTAGGTTTAGCCCGTGTGTGTGTGTGTGTGTGTGTGTGTGTCTGTGTGTCTCTCTCTCTCTCTCTCTCCTTATTGGATATTTAGGTTTACCAGTTTTTTTCTTATAAAAATGTTTCAATGAAGATGAAATCCTTCTAAGTGAATTTTTTTACATCTCTTATTTTATTAGTCTAGATTCCTAGAATTATTAGTAGTAGTAGTATTGAGTCAAAGTATATTTCTTAAATATTTGGTAATGTATTACTATACTGTTACCATTTTGTATTCCCAACAGTAGTATTATGTACAGTATTATTCTAATCTTTACTAATTTGGTAGGTGAAAAGGGCCATGGCAGTTTATATATTTTATATCTTTATTGACCCCCCCCCCGCCGCCGGAATTGTTAAAATGAATCTTAAAGAATATTTGGACATGGAGACCTTTGCAGGATTGTAGAATCAAGGAGGGGGAAAGCAAAAAACACGATGAAAAAGAATCTTACCTAATATTTGTACATCTTAGACGTACTTTCAGTATCATAAATGTTGGGTTGGCAAAAAAGTCCACTTAGTTTTTTTCCCCTAAAATAAAAGACAAATTTTCATTTTCACCAGTAACTATTAATTTGGATATTTTGAGTATGTTGGCTGTCTCCCACTATTGCCTTCTAGTGAGTACAGGCCGGGATGCTGCTAAACATCTTACAATGCGTAAGGCAGTCCTCCAGAAAAGAATTACTTGGCCAAAATGTCAATAGCACCAAGAAACTTCACTAACCACTTTTGACACGTTCTGTCAAGTCACAGCACCTTCTCCATACACCGCACAAACCTTTTTCTGTGATTCAGTTGTGCTTTTACTTTTCTTGAAGTAATAAACCATAATACACCGAAAATGTTGCATATCTTTTTCCATCTTCAATATTAAAATGGCTGCACAAAAATTCACCAATTTTGATAAGTGGTTTTTTTTTAATGCATGCTGATATGACAGCTGTCACAGTACAATCTAATAAAATTTTTCCAAATGAAGTTAAAGAAAACTAACACTACCAGAAACATTCCAGGGGGAAAAGCCCAACGAACCTTTTGGCCAACCCAATATGTAAAGTATGTGTAGATTAAAGGTTTAAGGTCACTTAAATGGCTCAGTGTAATTGTTCTTTTTTTTTTTTTTTTTTTTTTTTTTGCAGTTGACATCCTGCTAAAGGCTGTGGGAGACACCCCTATAATGAAAACAAAGAAGTGGGCTGTAGAGCGAACCCGAACCATCCAAGGACTCATTGACTTCATCAAAAAGTTCCTTAAACTTGTGGCTTCAGAACAGTTGGTATGAAACCAGTGGTTAATATTTTTCTACAGTAATTCACAGTAGTTACTAGGCAACAATCAATAACTGTTGTATATAGAAATACATATGAAGCCACATGTGTTACTTCATTATGTTATTTCTTTTGTTGGTGGAATATCTGTACCTTATTGAAGGATTCTCTGGGGAACCCTGAAATGAAATGAATTTTAGACTAAGCAGTGGCATTTTGGTTTTTTTTTTAAACCTACTGTATTGGTTGTTTCTTTTTTCAAAAAGTCATTAAATGCCCATGTAGAAAGATCTATAATAGAACATTGATACAGAAATGTTTAGGTTTTAAAGTTTGTTTTGATATCGGTGTTGCTTTCTTCCCATTCTTCTTGAGGTAAGCAGTATATCTTTGCCATATGTTACAGAAGGAGTTAAAAGATACTCTTATTTCATATTACAGTATATGTTAAGCACTTTATGGTAGCAGTTGTAAAGATTAATATTTTAAATGCCACTGTTTGTTTTTTGTTTTTGTTTTTTTTTCTTCACCTGAGGTTGTGCTTTATTTATTTTTTTAGAGAGAGAGAAAGAGAGAAACATCCACCAGTTGCCTCCCATACATGCCCCATCTGGGGATCAAACCCACAAACTTTTAGTGTACAGGACAGTGCTCCAACCAACCGAGCCACCTGGCCACTGGTTTGTAACTTGGTATTCAACTACAGAAATTCAAATGTCTACATGTATTTGGAATGTTGCATGACACCTTTATCTGCAGATCACATCTTGGCCAATATTAATATCGACCTGAGTTTGGTTGTACGTGGCTCATAAAATGAACGTAGGTACAAGAACAAGCACAAGATAGATCAATCACTAGAAGTAATTAGAGGTAAAAACAGTATAGAGCCAGGGATTCCTCCAAAGGGACTTGTTTAGGAAAAGTATTAGGAATATTTGAGTTTTATAGCTGACCATTTTACTCTATGACAACAGTCACAGTGAGAAAAGGATCTGTTTTATAAGAATGCCATATAGAATTTAATTAAATGTCAAGATAGGCAAGAAGATTATTGTCATCCACATGCATATGGTAGCTAAATCTTCAGGAGCAGAGGACTTTCCCTAGAGTCCAAGTCTAAATGGAAAAGTCAAGGAAATGAAGACATGCACTTGAGAAAAATGAGCAGAAGCTATATCTCTGCATGAAGAGTGGGAGAGGTTGGAAACCAGAGGATCACCAAGTAATTAAGACACTGCTTTTAGAAACTTGCAGTTAGAAGAAAAGATGAAACTATGCTATGTTCTATGTTAATATTAGAATCTTGACCTTTTGTATTGCCTATATCCAGTAATCTGAAAGGATTTGATTAATATCCACATGTATAAGACTGAACCATATAAAATTATCATTAATCATTTTAAACTATAAATACAGCAATTTTTTATGGTTCAGCCTTTTTTTTTTTTGATATCCAGTCTAACTTTGGATATTCTTAATTTCAGAGATATTAAAACATATTTAAGAAATCCACCTTAATACCTTTACAGTGTAGTTAACAAAATATATAAAATACTTTGGTATAATCACCAAAATATGTTATGTATGGTCAGTCCTCATTATTCAGGGAGTCTTAGTTGGGAAGTCACCCACTTGCAAAAATTTGTAACTCCAAAATCAATACTTATGGTGCCTTCATGGTCATGCGTGGACATGCATACATGGGACAGCAAAGTCTTACCACCTGGCATGCATGTTCCCAGCTGATACTGAAGACATTCTGCCTCCTGCAGCCCCCATATTGTAAACAAATGTTCTTTTAATGGTCTATTTAGTGCCATATTTTAAATATTTTTCTGATGGTTTTTATTTGTGATTTTGTTTAAAATGGCTCATAAGCATAGTGCTTAAGCATGCACAAGACTGTCATGTGCCTTTTGGAAAAAATACATGTGTTAGAAAAGCTTTATTCAGGCCTGAGTTACAGTGCTGTTGGTCATGAATTCAATGTAAATGAAAACAATATATGTTAAATAAGATCTTCAAACAAACATATAAAACAAGGCTACGTACTGATCAGTCGATGAAAATGTGACGAGAGACTCACAGGAATCTAACCCTGTGTTTTCCCTAGGAACACCAGTTCAGTATTTACTAACTTAGGGTTTGCAACAACTTTATATAACATAACTACTGTGAATAATAAGAATCTATGCATTTGACATCTAGAGCCTTTGCTATTATTCTTTATTAAATTGAATCTCACATAAATACTAACCTTACCCAAAATATAAAATATACACTTTAATGCTTTACTGAGAGAAAAAGCTGGTTCAGATAAATGTAACACTACTGTGTTCCTACTCAGTAATAGTACATATAGTAAATTTCCCTTCCTTTTCAAAAGTATATCCCTTAGTTTTTTGGAACCACAAGAATTTTCACATTAAATAATAAAGACCAATATCAGACATACTTTGTTGTTGTTTTAATTGTATATCTCCAGAAAAATGTCAGCTATTGGTTTAAGATGGATTTTCTTCATCATGTTTAAGGAAGTATCTTCCAATTTAGGTTTTCAGAAATAAGTGCTATATTTGATCAAATGTCATCCCAGCAGTATAATCGGGTAAATTTTGTTTGCTGACTATATTAATACACTTCAAAGTTCTAAGTACATTTCTTGTTCATTATACAAGAACGTAGTTATAATAGAAATCTGAGTTTCTATTATTTCACTTAGGGTTTTCTACCCAAATGCATAATAAATTCCTTTAACAAAACTAAATTTCACAAAATCTTAAGCTTTAAAAGATATCAGATGTGTACAAAATGCAGCAGGACTGAGATCCTTATACTTTTCAGGGGGAAATGAGGCAAGAGAAGCATATGAAAGCCTGGTATGTTTTCTGCTTAGCTTCCTTTATAGCTAATGGAATCAATTCAAACAAATTTTCATATAATTTCTTTCCACATAAAAATGAAATAATAACCTCTAGTGGAATAAACTCAATCTAGTAACCACTATGGTTTAATCTTAACACTTAAAGTATGTTACTAGACTGGCTTCAGGCTGTAAAAGTCTAGACATTAAAACTCAAAAAATAAATGTTGGAATATGATTTAAAATGAGAAGCCAATACACACTGCTTTTAAAACAGACAATATGAAGTACCCTACCAGAGTTTCCGCAATTTCCAGTTATGTATCAATGTTTATTTAATTTTGCTTCCCTTTTAGCCTACAAGGTCCATGAGGGCAGGAGTCAACTTAGGTTTGTTCACCTGTGACAGGTCTTTTCTGTTTGTTCCCTTTAAATCTTCTCTCAGCCTTGCTGCTTCATAGGGCTCCCTTGTCTTCTGCTTAAATTCAAATAATAGGAACACTAACAGATCAGTGGGTGGAAAAGATTGAAATGCACATCCACATCTACACATAAATGCTCCTGCTATCTCTCAATTTGCAGGGCCTAAAACCTTTTTAGTCATTGTAGGAAATTTCCTCATTTAAAAAACAAAACTCCACAAGCATCATTAAGTGAAAATACAGACTTAATTCCTCCCAGTCCTCAAAATTAGGTTTTTTTCCTTTAGCATATAAACAAATGGCAGTAAGCTTTACAAGGAACTATATAAACTGGGAAATATTTTTCTCTAAGCTTAACTAATTAAAACAATTTTTAAAAAATCCTTATTAACTGCTAGAAAGAAACCAGTTTTGCCATCACAGAAAATAGGTCTTTTTCTTTTTGCTCTTAAAGGACTTCTTGTAAGAGTACTTTATAAAGGAGCCCCTGACAGGTACATTCCACATTAACACATTTCAACCTAGTGAATGTTTTCTGAAGTTTCAACTCAGGAAAATGTAAAACTATATTCTATTGAGAAACTATTGAAAAAAATAAAAACCAGAAATATTCATCACAACAAAACCAATAAAGATGACTCACCTTTTACTAAGTACCCAAGTCTCCATGAAGTAAAACTCAGGAAAGGAGAATCAGTTTTAGACCCCATTCCATAGAATTTAAGTTTCTGAAGTAACAAACAAAAAAAACCCATTTCACCTGTTAGGTTTCATAGAGTGAAGTCAAAGTAAAACATACAAAATTATTCTGGGACAGCCATGTAATAATACTCAGCTATTACTGTGTTAATGTCATGAATATATATGAATTATTTAAACTTGATATTGTCAAATAACTGGTCTACATTTATGTTTATTAAAAACTGACATAAACACAACCTTTACAAATAATATCTCAATGCACACATGACTTTGAAGCAGTAATCTTGAGAGACATTATTGCCTAGGACCGTTTATTCTTCTGCCTCAGTTGTGTCGTCTTCCTCCTCCTTGGCCCTGGCCTCTTCTTGCAGCAGCTCCCCTTAGATTTCACCTTCAGTTCAACATCCACAAGTAGTGTATCCAGAGGTAAGCTGACTGGCAGAATAAAATGTCGAATGTTATTTCTTTGAATACTCAGGGTTTCCAGCTGTACAGTTTCTTGGTTCTTCAGGGTCATTTTCACAGCTTTAAGATGAGTATTCATGCTGACACCTGTGGTTGTTCCATGGACCTGTGTTCCATTCTTTAATTTGATTGTTACAGTTTAGTGACTCAGTTTAATTAAAAATCTCATGAGCTTCTCCTAACAGAGCTATCATGTTCTCAGTCCGAGGGTGCACAAAAAACAACAACCGAGGGCCTACAGACTGGAGTATGAATGGCCCGAAACGCCTACTCCAGGACCTTGGATGTAAAGGCACGGGGAGTGTGGCAGGGGCAGAATAGAAACTTATGGTTCAACCTTAAACCTCAATAGTGAATCTGATTATCCCTTTCCATTTAAGCAATAAAAAACATATAAGTAATGTTTTGTCACTTTTTTAGATTAAACTGGAGCTTATACCTTCTGGCTTTCACCCACCTGCATTATTTTAGCAAAATGAATGTTAAAAAATAACAATAATAGGCACTTAGGGAGGTTTGCAGTGGTGTCAGAACACATAGTTGAGCCCTGGCC